TTTTACTGGCAGTGGAAGGCACAGTGAATATTCAAAGCAAACAGAAATTGATTTTTAAAGAATACAAAAAAGCAACCGCTGTGAAACTTGTGAGACTTGAAACATTTCTGAGCGGTTTTTCCACTTGGTGATTTGCTTCTCAGTTATAAACCTTTCTCAATGCTTAAAGAGACCTGATGCATACATTCAACTCTGATTAATCTAAAGAATCTACTGAAAGTTGTTGTGGTTGTTTTTTTTTTTCAAGAGAGCACAGCTGCTTATTTTAATGTTGTAGTTAAGTTAGCCCCTTTTGCTTTTACAGTGAAAGAATAATAATTTAGATTTATATTATCCTATTTCATCCCTAGGTCTTCACATAAGCATCCCTCTTCCCAGCCTTCCAGAAATCCAGTCTTCTGAAACTGAGAAGGCTGCAAGAAGGAGTGGAAGTTTCAAATTGTGACTTATATTCCTTAGGTAAAACATTGAAGCATATGCTGCTAGCACATGCTATTTTGTGTTAAAAGCTAATAATTAATTATTGCAGCTCATCTGTTGTATTGTTCCAAATGACAAAAGAGAGATGAGTTATCCCACAAAGCCAAACCTGTGCGTGTGCACTAAATTGATAATTATTTTTGGAATATTACCACTGCTGACAACACATTGATCAGAAGCAAGCATTGTTTAGTCTGCAGGCTTTAATATAGTACTCATAAACATTATATGATTGTGTTCTTGTGGAGGGCAAGATCCATATGTTTTCATTTAGATAGATTCCAGTAAGCTTTTAAATCTTGTTAAAGACCTTACTAAGCTTGGTTTTGAATGATAATTGGGAAACATATTTAAAACTTTGCTCTATCAAATTAAAATCTCTTGTAGAGATTGAATCTCATGATCACAAAGAAGGAAAGAAATGGAGGGGGGCACAGAAGTTCAAATTCAAAAGGTAGAAGCCAGTTCACAAAACTCATTATAATTTTTGATGCTGCATGGAAGAAGAGACATAGTGTGGTTCAGTGTATCAGTATCGTGTCCTGTGATTCCGCCTGTGTTACAACTAATGAAAATATGCTTTTCTCAAGAAAATTTAATCATCCTATGGGTAAGGTTGGTGGTGTAAATTTTTACTTGCCCAAGAATGTGTTTGAAATGTACTATAATAGTGATGAATCCAGCAGGGAGGATACTCAGTACATAGACGTTCCATATACATAAGGAGTTGAATTTCATCTCAATATTCTTTGAAGCAATACTGCAAGGTGTTCAGGACCTGAAAACCTGGTACTGAAGTACTTTTAACTAAGGATTTGGGTTTCTTCTTGTTGTTCTGTCCACTTCTAATGGCACATCTGAAGTGTATTCATTCATAATATCTCCAGAGATCAATGATGACAACTACAAAAGATTGGTGCCCCCATTTTACTTGGGAAGGGAGTCTCAAGGTCACTCAGACCTTGTTTCAGATGTTTCAAGTAGACAATTTCTGGTTTGTTTCTAAGTCACACTTTCCCTTTGTCACAAAGACTGTCAAAACAGGACAAAGTGTTGGATCCATGACTTCAATATGCTTTGAGAAAACTTTCAGTTTTACAGCTTCTGCCCGGCAAAGAAGTTTCTTTTCCCAGCTCTAGCTGTTAGAAGAATTCCTGTTATTGTCTTCAGAAAAAATTGTTAGTGGCAAGACTTGCCTTACACATTTGACAGTAACTGATAGTTTAGGATTTTTGAGGCTGGAACAGCGTGTCTCTCTTAACTAGCTAAATTTAAAAGCCAATGTGTATATTGCTTCTGCAGGGCATGGTCACCAGCATCTCCATTAGGCTTTCTGTTCTGACTCACCACAGTCTTCATTGGTGTGCAGGGAGATGAGCGTCCAAATTCAGACACTTAAAATAGTTGTCATAAATTGGGCTGTTTGAAAACACTCCTCTGTACGTATTACCTAAGGTCTTTTTTCTACTGGATAAATGTTTAATCTTTTGGAAGGTATTATTTTTAGCCTTCATGCACTTGCCTTTACAATAATTTCCATGAAGTTTTTATTCTCTCAGGTAGTCCCACTGAGCTCAGTGCACCAGTGAAGATTATTTCTATGAATAACCTCTCTGTTGAATCTGTTTTGATATTTGGTTTCTATCACTTAGACTCAGGTCTTTTTGTGTGTTGTATGTGCATGTCAATGTTCCCTTGCACATCCTTTTTAATGTGGTCCCTGCATTTTATTTTTTATTTTTTTTTCTCTAGTTTTTCTGCTGGTCTTACACAAAATAATATTAATAAGGAGAGGGAAATAATGTGGTAATAGATAACTCAGCATATTTTTTTCTGTTCTGCCCTGCTTCTTTTGAGACTGCTTAAGTGATCCAGTATTTTATGAAACTCTTTTACATTCTTAACTTTGAATTGGAGCCAGTGGGCACTTATCTCTTTTTGCCATGTTACTGCCCCTATGCTGCACTGAGTGTCTCAACAGTCCAGCATTTTTGGTGTTGGAGATTTTATTTGGTCAAACCATTTCTGTGTTCATGGATGCCATTCTAGTGTAACCTGTATTCCAAAATAAAATGAGCCTAGTGGTCTGAGTCCTGTCCCTGGTGAACAGTCTGCATTACAAAACCAGCAAAGAGGCACAAAGCTGGTGGTTTCTGCTCGGGGACACTCAGCCCTGGCCAGCATGGAGGCACAATTACCTCACACCCCAGGGAGTGAATTTTCTAGGTGAAGACTAAGGTCATTCATGAGGCAATAGGGAAAAGCATCTCTTGTGAAACTGGTGTCTGCATCAGCCAGGGACACCAGCTCCCAGTGCTGCTGCTGCAGACTCACTGCTCACTCTGGTTAAAAGATTTCATAATCTGGAACCTCTGATCTAAGACCACCTCAGTTATATATGTAATTTACTTTATAGTAGAATATATAAGAAAACATTTGCATTTTCGGGTGATCTAGGCAATCCCACTTTAGCAAGGGATTTGAGCTAGATGATCTCTAGAGGTCCCTTCCAACTCTTAACAGTTCTGTGGTGGTTTTAGCAGATTACTTGTTGGAGGTGATACCTTAATACAGGGAAATTCCTGGTTCTGCTAAAATTAGTGTTTTGCCTCCTTTAGTTAGCAAACTGGGATGTTACTGTGTAAATGTGAAGGTGCTAGCCATATGGTAAAAATACTAATTTATGCTCATTAGTGCATTATTGACTGTATCACCTATTCATTACGATATCTTCCCATGAGTTTCTCTGACAGGAAAGCTGAGAGACCTGAAGTGGCTGAAATCTTTGCGCCAAATGGATTAAAACAGAAAATGCTTAGCACTTCTCAGTGGATCAGTGCTCAGTTTCAGCTGGGTCATACCAGGTTAACAAGCCAAAGTATCAGGTTTCTTTTTTTTCTTTAGGTTAAAAAAAAAAAAAAAAAGGAGAAAGAAAAAGAAAAAAGTAAAATTTGTTTTCATTCATACTGTTAGCTATTTCAGATCAAATCTGTGTGCAAACATTTTTATTTTGGAGCACAGAAGCAAAATTTAGCTTATTTCATACCTGTATTAAATTAACCATAAGTGCAAGTTCAGATTAATCCAATTATTTTTATTTCATCTGCTATGTAAATAATCCTTAAACCTCTAGTGATTACTGAAAGGGGAAAATGGCCTAACAGGAGAAATGAATACAAGGCTTTCTGTTGGAATCTGTAGAGAACATGAAAAAATATCTACAAAGTGACAGGTTTCATACTGATTTCGCTGTGATAGATCAGCTGGGCCAGTTATAGTCATTTACCCTCTGCTCCATTAGCAGTTACTCTAACACTGAAGACTAGTAGATTTGGACTATCTGACTTTGGTAGAGTCCCACTAACCTCAAGAAGTAATTCTTCCTTGGGCCAGGGTGATGGAGGAGATTGTTCAAAAGGTCCGTTCCCCTTTTGTTTTTTTCTAACATTGGCAGTATAAACAGGATTTTATTTTTTTTTAACTGACATACAGAACCAAAATCCCTGGGTTGGAGAGAAAGTATAGAAGGAAGGAGGAATGTGCCTCTGGGGTGGGCACCAGTGGGAGAAAATTCTTCAGAGTCCAGGAGCTCCACCAGCCCATCCAAACAACCAGCCTCACAAAACAAGCAGAGTGAGCTCTGTTCCAAGTGGTTTTCCTCCTGCTTGTTGGGGCAGTCACAATCCATCTCATACCTTCCACTACTTTTTGTAGTAGTTTTCTTCTGTAACTGCAAGGAATAAAATTAACACAATTTTTAAACACTCTGAAAGCTTAGAGTCAAGCATTGCCCTGTGGTTTCTGCAACAATGAAGTTCATCATAAACTGAGGGCTAATGGAGTGGGAAGAGAAAGAGGAGTCACGGCCCAGTAGTATGCATGAATTTCTTCTGGATGCCTCCACCCTTTGCTCTCACACTTCTTCATTCCCTAATATCTGTGCAAAAGACACAGCTCTGGTACACCTTAGCCAGGTGGGGTTGAAAGTCTCATTTATTAGCAGATATTTCTTGTCTTTTTTCTGTTTTGATGGGTGTTTAAATTGCAAAACTTTGGACCTTGTTTAAAGTTTGTGGCTTTTTTAATACATGTTTATGCTGTCATGCTGTCTATCTAAACTATTTTTTTTAAAATATTATTTTTGTCAACTTTAACCAAATTCAAGTGTCTCAAAACCATTACATCTAAGTTAATATCATGCAAATCAGCAGCTGTGGAGATGAGAGAGAACCTGATAATGCTGTCACTGTGGGGAGACTTACTTCTTACTTCACATGGGAAAATAATCCTGAGAAGAGATCAGGGAACACCAGTCTTTTGATTCTGCTATTTATGGAACTACTTGTTTATTCATAGAAATCCTTTGAGGGTACTTCTGTAAACTGAGCATCTAATCTGTACAAAAAGCATCTAGATGGGCTGTGACAAGTGATGTATTACTTTGTTTGGTTGTACATGATCGCAGTATGGTCTTGTTCCCTTGTAAAATTAGTGTTTCTTTATTTCTTTCTCTCTCCAAGATTTCTTTCGACCTAGCAGAATATACTGCTGATGTAGATGGGGTTGGCACTTTGCGGCTCCTGGATGCTATTAAGACCTGTGGCCTTATCAACTCTGTGAAGTTCTACCAAGCCTCTACCAGTGAGCTTTTTGGAAAAGTGCAAGAAATCCCACAAAAGGAGACCACCCCTTTTTACCCAAGATCGCCTTACGGTGAGGATCACTGATGGTGTGTGTGTAGTGTCTGTCTGTTCTCCCTGCTCATGTCTCAGGGCTGAAGTCATTTGGGTGTGAGATTAGACTGACGATAGAGCTGAAGTGACTAGACATGTTGAGAGGCATACCTTTATGAATTACTATATAAAAAGTATTTGCTGCCATTGCCTGGGGGTTGGAAATTAGCATCTCACTTCGCAACACCATGTTCATTCAGCTCAGAGGTAGAGAGCTCTGGTAGAGGAGGGGGAAGGGGGGCTTCTCCTTCATAGAGGGTTGTGAGATACCACTGAGGTGATAAGGTTTCATATTTTTTGTTGCCTAAATGAAAAAAAAAAAAACTCCCAAGAGCTCATTTCTTCCTTCATGAACTTGCATGAAATTTGAAACACTTATTAAAGCAATGTGCGTGGAGGACTTTGGTGATAAAGTTTCAAATCAATTTGAGTGTTAAGGCACCAGATTTTCGCTTTTATTCCTCTGAAGTATTTTTTATTTTTATTAGCAGGGGTCACCACAGTGGTGTATTTCACACGCTCTGGCTGTGTTAATTATATTGTAAAAGAGAAGAGTCTGCTTGACTGTGCATAAGAGAACAAGTGAGAAAGTGACCTAATGCTTCCTAGCCAGGTCAGAGGCTGCAAAGAAATATAGTATTTTCCCATTCAGCTGCTGTTTATTGGGCTGGTTATTTATTTCTCTATGAAATGTGACTCATATAGGGAATGAATCAAATTCTAATGCACTCCACTGTTGAAATGTGGGCTTTACCCTGTGTGTGAGAGAGAGGGGTGTGTATGTGTATCTGTCTGAGCTGTGGACAAGCAGAGCGGAGATACGTGACTCTTTAAAATTCTTTTTGTAGGGGCAGCAAAACTGTATGCCTACTGGATTGTGGTGAACTTCAGAGAGGCCTACAACCTATTTGCTGTGAATGGCATCCTCTTCAACCACGAAAGCCCCAGGAGAGGTTAGAAAATCCATGTGAAACTTTTCCCAACTTTGCATACACCTGACCAGAAAAAATGAAACAATGAATCTAGAGGTTTCATTTAAACTATCCAAGTCACAGTGTTTAATGCAGCTCTCCTGGCAGTCTCAGAGCCTGAAGAAGAGCAGTTTTCTCTTTCAAGCATCATATTGCATTTTCTAGCCCTCTGACACTGAAGGGAGTCTTGCGTACCTCATTTTGTGTATCAGTGCTCTCAAGAGACTGCAATAACATAACATCCCTGAGTTTTATTTCCCTCTTGATAGTAAGTTAAGGCTAAAATGTTGAAGTGGCACATCAAAAAGCAGGTTTTCTAAACACTTAGGTGAGCAACTGCATAACAGATGCAATTTCAGGTGTGACTTGTAGTCAAGGTTTTTATTTGCGTATAAATGTCAGAGGCAGAAATAACAGACCATCAAAATTTGTAAGACTAATGAGTGCAGCCTGATATAGTTTGAAAAATGTGTGCATTATGGCGTATATACCTTGTGACAAGATGGTTTTTAACACATCACTTGAAAATGCCTTTCTGTTTAATCCTTAATAGCAATGCAGCTTAAATTCCACTTAATCATCCCTATTCCTCTTGCTGTACTTTATGAACAATTGATACTGGTAGTTAGTTTGACTAAGGGTCCATGGTTGATTTAAAGTCTCTTACAATGAGACTTTGAACAATGACAGTTTTCCTCTGCCCTGAAAGTACTGTGACTGTAGAAAACACTCTAACATAAAACTTTAAAAACACAGAAAACTGAATTCCTAGTGCAGAAGCCTTTTATTGTGGGCTCTTTTTAAATGAAAAGTAAATTCAAGTTTTACAGAATGCAATTATATAAATTATAGCTTGGCACAAAATACAATAATTTTAATAGTATTTACAAATATAAAAGAGACCATAATTGCAACTCTGCTTAAAAAAAAAAAAAAAAAAAAAAGGAAAAAAAAAAAAAAAAAAAAAAAAAGTGAAAAAAAAAATAAAGAGAGAAAGAGAAACAAAAAGGAGCCAGTGTCAATAGGATTTAAATGTTGATTTCAGTCTTTGAGAGTCACAGCTGCAAAACCTCATAGCACAATGGTTAGTCAACATTCGCAGTAAGTGGTTACAGAAGTTGGTGCATCACTTCACTGGAGCAGATGACAGTACAAGTTCAAAATGACAGGAGAATCAAATTCACAAGACTGTTACATTTAGAAGCCCTAATACTTTGCTTTCTTTTAAACAGTTCACTGTGATGTATTCTTGGTGCACTCTAAACTGATGTCTAAACTGCTCTGAGTGATTGTTATGTAATTAAAACATTCTGATGAACATAAAATGAGGAAATGTACAATGACATATATTAGCTTGGCATAATTTCTAGTAACTCTAAGAAGCTACAAGCTGAGATGGAAATTACTTGAACACATTTACCATTTGTGCTACTTCTCTATAGGCTCGTGCTATTTTGAAGGAGGAAAGGTTCAATGCTTGTTGCTGTTTTGATCCCTCTGCCATTTGTTCCAGCTTTGACACTGCTGCACTGGCTGTCCCAGTCCAAAGTCTTTTCAACACCTTTAATGTCCCTTTGGAGAACCCAAGTCTGCACTTTGAAGTCTCAGGATGTAATTTTAGTTGTGTATATGCACTGGGTGCAATTTTAAGCCCCTTATGCTACAAACAGGAATCTTGTCTTAGAAATGGTTTTGGGTCACTCCATTTGCCTTAGCTGAGTGTAAATGCCATAAAAGTAACTGTAGCCACAGCTCAGTATCAGTTGGTGATTTCATGGAGAAAGTCTGAAAACTTATACAGAGAAGAAAATGGAAGAAAAATAGCTTTGAGATTGTTTCTTAATAGCCTTTCATCACTCTCATAATATTTTTGAAGACTGCAAAGTAGTTTGGGAGGTAAAGAAGATTTAACTGAAATATCAAATTTATATGCAGAGATGGTAATACAGAAATTTTAAAATGTCTTATGGTTTGGTTTTTTAAAAAAAATATTGTTATTCTACTGATTTCAGAGATTGAGAATACCTAAATAAACTAATACAGGTTTTATTCCAATATTATATACCGTTATTCCAGTTGGTTTAGTGTTACACTGGATGGATTGAATACAACATTCCATTGATGGTAATACTAAGTGAATCTTGTCCAGACAAAGCATAATGCTTGGGAATCAGTAGAGAGCAGGAGGCTGTGACAGTGAACAGACAACTGTAAAGAGTTTGCTTCACGATCTCTTCATATAGTGTTCAGATATTATACTATACACAAGCCTAGTGTAAATGAGAACTGTCTAATCTCAAGAGCTGATTCCCTGAGAAAGGAATGTAGAAATATGTATCTCTTAATTCAAAATGCCAGTTCTTCTTAGCCTTCCTGGTTTTAACTCAGAAAGGAGCACCAGTAGTTAATCTCTTGTAGCCTGTATAATAATAGAAACAGAGTTCATAAGGGTAAAGAGTGCTTAAGTCTAATATGAGAGGTTTCCTATTTCTCAAAATTACCAAGGCTTGAGAGCAGTGTTGGCTTTGAGAAGCTTGTTTGATTTTCTACTTTTATCTTGCTCTAGAAGAGAAAGACTGTAACAGGAACAGTTCTTAAGATGTAGCACCAAACTGCAAATCTGAACACTTAAATTCACTGTGTGGGCTTGCTTTTAAGTCTGATGTTTCATATTCTGACAGCCACAGCGACTATACAAAAAACACCATTGATAAATTCCAGGTTGGCTGAACCCACTGTCTGAGCCTTACATCTTAATTTAGGACTGGTATGGCATTATTAAATTGCACAAATACTTAATTATTAAATACTTAATTATTAAATTGCACAAATCTATACTCAAGACACATATGTATGTAAAGCCAGATAATTTTATCTAAAATTTTACAAGAAGTAAAATTGGTGGCTATTTTAGATTAATCTTATATACTTCTACTTTCAGCCTTTTTGTACTACTTTCTTTTCTATTTTTTTGTTTGATTATTTTTATTATACCTACTGCCTTTCATTTCTTAGTCACTTTTACAGTTCTGTAAGACAAAATAGTCACTTTTTGACCATGCTACTCAGCTCAAATAATTCAAAACATCTGCACTGAAGTGAATAGGGTCATTTTGATTTACGTCAGTTGAAGATCTAGCATAGTACTTCCAGTAGTGGTCTGGTAATGTAAGATTTTTGTTTGCTTAGTGGAACCTGTGTTAGCAGTATAACTTGCTAAGGCTGATTTCTTCAGTTACTTTCATTGTTTTTATCCAGGTGTAGATCAAGCATTTCCTGATTTATGACAAAGCTGAAGGAGAATAGGATCTTCCATTTCTGAAGCTTTTTCATTTGCTAAATATGCCACTAGCTGAAAAGCAAAATGCTCTCAGCAATGATAGTAAGCTACAAGGTGGCCTCTGGTTCTAAAACTGAACAAACATAACCCCAAACTTTTCCAGAATGCTGGGGTTTTTGGGGGGTTTTTGTGTTTGGTTGGTTGTTTTTTTTTTCCAAGACAACCAAATGGGGGAAGTGATGGCCATCAAGTTGCTGGTGGTGGTTGGCCACGGCTCCCAGTATTAACAGTGTAGAAATGTTTGCCCTGTAGCAATATTGGAAAGGTATTTCTGTCCAGTGAGATGACTGTTTTGACAGTGGAAGAGTGAGGCAATTAGCAAGCCTAGCTTTCAGGAAAGCTGGGGCTCAATCCAAGCCTGTTTGACACCACTGGAAGTATTCCTGTTCTTTTGTTGGGCTCTGGATCTCACTAATACCTCCTTTTCTAAGTGAGAAAGCAAGCTACTTGTTGACAGTGTCATTTAATTCTTCCCAGACAAGCCCTTACTTTTTTTTTTTTTACTTTTTTTTTTCCTCTTCAGTTTTGTGCAAGAAGTTTTCTCAGGTTTACAAGATGTGCCTTTGGATGTCTGAGATAACTTTCTGATTTGGTTAACCGCTTCACTGCTTGCCTCATCTGATCTTTATCTGCCAAGATGTACAAACATGTACAGCAAGTTCCCTAACACAATGCAACAGAAGGTTGTTTGGCTTTTGTTGTGGGTTTTGTTGGTTTTTTGGTTTTCCCTATGTAATAAGTACTTTGCCTCCACACATGACATCACTGTGTAGATCATTCAGTAGGGAGTTTTTGTTTGTTTTATACCAACCCTGGCAAAGCAGTTGTCATCAGACCATTCCTGTATAGCCAGAGGCAAGGGATACAACTGCTCATTTCTGTGATCTCTTTCAGCCAGAGAGGAAATGGCTAGGTGTTAAGATTGCAGACTGAATGTTGTCAAAGTATATGTAGTAAGATTAAAATGAAAAGAAATCATGATTTAAGGAGAATGGGGAGTGTTCGTTGCTTTTGTTGTGCATCTGGATCACAGGTTTGCCAGGGGTAGCAGTGTAAGAGGTTTGCCTACTCACTGTAAATGTGTTTGGGTATCTTTTGACTTTATGGGATTACTTGTTACCTTTTTTTTCATTTATTTTCTAACAAGATTTCAGTCTCCCTTTTGCCTCTATTTCATAGAGAAGGCAGAAGCAGATGGTGACATTTGCTACTGACTTTCACAAGAAATCCCTACAATCTCTACTGTAACAGCTGCTCTTCTTTGTCTCCCAGAAAGAGACGTAGCCAACATCTGCCAGATTTCCCTTTCTAATTTCTTTGGTTGAGGAGACTAATTGCTAGACTCCTGACACACTTTCTATGCTAGAAGAGCATGGTCAACCTGGCACTGTTGGAAATACTTAGTGCTTTTGCTGGTGCTCTTTTTGTAAGTTTAGGCCTATGAAAGACACAAATATAAAATGTTCAGTGTGGAGCTATGTCTCCCTTATTTAACACAAAATTTCCCAACCCACAGATATATCTCAACAGCAAAAGTCAGCAGAATGTTGCTTTTGTCTTGCTGACTCCTTGCTGGGTGAGAAGAATGCAGGCTGACTAGTAACATCAGGGATTATCTGCCCAGCATATTGAAAACTTGATG